ATAAATAGTTTACGTGTTGTCTAATCCCTGCATTATGTTAATTTAACACCTCTTTTCTTTCTTTTTGAATGTTTTAGATCCAAAATCAAAGAAACCAAAATACTACTGGTTATTTCATCCACAAAGTGGCAAGTGTTTGAATGTTGCAACCAACAATGTAGTAGAAGCAAGTAGTTGCATCGGAGGTAGCCGGTGGATCTATCACGGAGACGGCACGTCGATCCGATTAACCGGAACTTCTTCATGTTTAACAACATCAAAAGAGGGCATGCCTTTGACACTTTCAAAAGATTGCACTAATAATGAAAAAGGTAGATGGAAACTTGCTTCAAATTATCAACTTTCAAATGTTGATGAGAATGGAAAAGAGTTGTGTTTGGATTTTGACACTAATTCTTCTTTTAACAAAGTTTTGGTTAGGAAATGCGTTGGATTAGATGGAAAAAGTATTGATAATCCTCAATCTCAATGGTTCAAGCTTGTCTCAACTAATGTTTACTAGGAAGTGTTCTTTCGCTTTAACAATAGTTATTTACTATTGATTTCACAGGTATAATATTATTATACTATTCTTTAAATATATTAAATTTAATGTTTAGAGAATGCTACTAGATATTGACTAACATTTAAAAGTAAGGATAAAATTGATATAAAAGGATAGATTATCTCTTGTTTTTTCCAATACGAACATTTATTTTTCATACAGTGAACAAGTAAAGATGGACATATGAGACAAATAATACTTTTTTTAATGAAAATCTTTATAAGTACATTAAAATTTAGGTTTATATGGTATTTAATGTTTGATATTCATATTAATAGAATACGATTAAATTGAAAATTGCATTAGAAAATTTTGGAGTGAAGCATCTTAAACAAAGGCGATTCTTTTACAAGCTTTTTGATTCTTTGAGTAGTACACTTAACATTTATTTTATTTTATTTTGCTTGATATTTATGTTCTTAGATGTTTTTATAACATGGCCCGCTAGTCGGAATTTTTTCTGTTTGATGTACAAGACTTGCAAAGCAAAAAAATTCTTTCTTTCGTTTTATTTTATTTATCATTCTTTATTCGACATGAAATTTATCAAAAAAAAAAAATTAAATTTTGTTGATCTTAAATAAAAAAATATATTTTAAATCTTATATTTTAAGCATGTTATATGGATACTTCATACTTCGAATTAAAAAGTTTCTAAAATATAAAAAAGATTTTTTTTTAAATGGACTAAAATTAGGAACAAACAAATTTAAATGAAAGTGAGTATGACAATATACTTGGTAGATCTCAAAATTAATAAAGGAGTTAAAAGAAGACAAATAATGAGAGAATAAGTTGGTAAAAAGAAATAAAGTTGAGATTTTCTTCGTCATTTTCTTATTGTGGAGCCCTTAAAAGTAATTTATGAAACTCCTTTTTATGTTTGGTGATGTTAGAAAAATTAGGTAGAAAATTGGAACCCTAATACATATTCCAATTCTGATGAGCCGTTTATAAATATTTGATTATAAATTTAATTATTAATATAATGTTTATTAACTACAAATGATGTATTATAGTAAATATTTGAGTGTAAATCTAATTATTATTATGATGGTGATGTTAATCAATTATAGATGATGTATTATAACTATGTAAATTTAATTTAAATTTTAAAATTATCAAAATTAACTTAAAACGTGATAGCTATTTTAAAACAGAAACAAATATACGAATGTTAATTGTTAAATGGGTCGAAGAATTAAGTCCCCCTTGTTTTCAGGGACAATTCTTCTTTAATCATTAGTAAATATTTGTGGTTTATATAATTATTACACATTTAAATTAAGGTTTTTGTCAATTATCTTCTAGTTAAAGTAAGATTATAATTAGAAGGGGAATAAACCACGTATTATAATTATTTATAATATACTATAACCAGTTAAGATAGTATATAACTATTTCAAGCTAAAAATTAACACAACCATACACAACTATTTAGTGTGTAACAGTTTATAAGTCTATTTTTTTAAAATAATTTAAGATATGTGATATTTAAAGTTATATATGTCTGATAGAAGATGAAATTTCGATTATATTTGTATGTTTAACGACATGTGGCTAAATATAGTTTGTTTGCGTGAAGTTTACACACATTAGTGAAGATGAACTATTTTTACATGAACTTAGAGGTAGAAATAACTTTTAAGACACATAACACAAGCCTAATTTATAACTTGTGATGTGCCCCTGAATCTTTTACCAACTTTATATTGTAAAAATAAATTTTGATTCACTATGCTAGTGTATAGCGCTTGATATCACTGAAGAATGTGGTGCAGTGAATGAGATTATATTTCTTCTTATCAGAAATTTGAACCCTATGTATGAAAAGTCTTCTCGACAGAATATATTTCTCTTCGAATGAGACTTTACTTGACATTACTCCAAAATAGTTAAAGTATTAATAAAACTATCAATCATCACGTGAAAAATAAAAAAAAAATAAATTGGGAACTTGGTAAATAGGCTCACTTTGGAAAATGGATGTGATGTAAGACCTTTTTGACTATGCTTTTTGCACAATTTGTTCACTTTAGTTGCAAAGTCTGACTTGCGTAAGATGTAGGATAAATAAATAGCCTCAATATTAATTAACATATCATGATTTAAATTGTGATATCTCAATCAATTTCATTATTTTTTTAGGGATTTAAATTCAAAATATTAAGATTATAAGTATTAGTAGAAACATCTAAGTAATCTCCTCTTATTTAAAATAACTCGTTTTTAAAATAGAAAAGTTATTCGTTGAAGTTTTAGTCAAAATATAGCTCAAATACTTATGGCAGGTCCTTTTGAAAGTGGTAGGTACTAGTAAAGATGTTATGTCAATAAATCACCTGAACGACGTTATCATATTGGCAATGACCTTTCAATCAATTTATATTACTTCAAATTTATGCATTTCTATTTCTTTACATAAAATTTTACTTTTAATAAATGTCAGATATAAGGTTAGTCAAATCATAAACGTGACACCTTAATTACTTCTACTTTTTTCTGTTTAAAATGTTAAACGAATTAAAGACTCCATCTTAATATAACTATTTACTTAGATTTCAGTCAAATTTAGACTCATCTTTTGAATCGTTCACGTATTGAATTTATATTCTAACTAATAACAAACCAAATAAGGTAAATATTTTAAAATTTTCAAAGTACTCCATTATAGTATAGATAGATTAGTACTTTAAAATTAATGAATGTGGGCTTCACTTACAAGCATACCCTACGTACTTTGTCTGCAATAATGAGACAAAAATTCATCAGTTCTAACTCCATAGCTAAATATCAACAATATTTTCTAACTGAAGGTCAATAATTTTATCTTGTTGGGAATGTAAAAATAAATACTTTAATAGTAACTTTTATTTTATCATTTCAATTTATATAATATAATTAATATTTAAATATTAAAAATATATTAATTAATTAAAAATATTTAATTTTTAAAATTTAAATTATATCATATATATCGACGCATTTACCCGTAGTAATGAATGTGAGTTATTCGTAGCAAAAGGTCCCCTGTGTGGTACTTTCCGTGCATGTTTGCCACGTGACTTTTCTTACCCAAAATTATGTGAAATAAAGAAGGCAGTCTACGGATATTACAGTAAGTATTTATTGTGATGCATGTGCTTCGCTTCGTTTTGATATTTATATTAAAATTTGATTAAATAAAATTAAATATATATAGTGTAGAAATATTTTTAACGATAATGAGTTCTGTGAAATTTGGATCGATATAAACGACAATGCAGGTAATTTCTTTTACCGCAATTGTTTACAGTAGAAAGATATTATTATTATTTTAGATAAAAATTTGTACGTGTGTAATTTTTAGAGATGTTCCAAAAAAACTTTATAAAAAGGATATTTGTATAATGCAATGGGCTGACACACAAACACTGGATTTCTTCACATGACTATTATGTAACCACGAATAAATACACCATTGTATTACAAGCTCAACACTAGGGACACAACTAGAAACTATAAAAGTAACGTACGTTTTTTTCGCAGTTTTTACGTGATTTATATGTTATGAGTTTGAAGTATTGATGTTAGGATAAATATTCTACTTGCATCTCAATTTTTATGATACTTTTGTAAACAATATTATACGAAAAAGAATTACAAAGTTCAAAAAAAAATATCTCAAGGTTTTAATTATCTATTTTAAGTGAGAGATATTTTTATTTATATATTTTAGAAAAAGACAAGGAGTAGTAGAATTTAAAAACTAAAAAATAAGTGCTACTAGTAGGAGTAATATATAAATGAAAATGTAAAAAAAGAGAGAAAGAAAATAAAACTTTTACCTTAGTTGTGTTACTGTTGTTCCTCTGCCACCTTTCAGAGTACTGCTGCAACAGTATTAGCTAAGCTTCTCCATTATCAATCTTCTTCACATTTCATAAACACCTCTCACTTTTCTGAACTTTATTCATCTCCTTTTTCTCATAATAATTGTATACTGGCTCTACCAACTATGGAAGCTTTCAGTTTACTCAAGTACTGGCGTGGTGGTGGAGCTGCCGGGGTTTTCTCTGACGATGCCGCCGGTGCTAAAACTCGTTCGGCTGTTCTCACTGAAGTTAGTGCTAACTCGTCTGAATCTGACTCCGACGAGGATGAAGAGGTAGACGGAGATGACGGACCGTTTTTTGACTTGGAGTTCGCTGCTCTTCCGGAGGAAGAAGAAGTGAAAGTTGAAGGAAATGATAGGTGTAAAATTAGTTCAAAGAATGAGGAGGAGGAGAATGAGGAAGGAGATGTAAGTGAGTCGGAGAACGAAGAAGAGCTGAAATTCACGCTTTCTCCGTCTAGTTCGAGTGTTGATGGTACGGATCCGAATGTATCACTTTCGCCGTCGGATGATCTTTTCTTCAAAGGAAGTTTGGTTCCAATTGAGCCTTCATCGCTGTTGCTAACTGCATCGGAAGCGAATTCTAAATTTTCTTCCTCATTGTTGAAGTCTGCAACGAAGTTTAGAGTGTTAATGTTGAAGCTGAAGAAGCCGAAATCAAATGCAGCAACAAAAACTGGAAAATTATCTGAAGGTGATGGTGATGGCGATGATGGCTCTGTTTCAGCTACTCCAAAACCACTACGGATTAAAGTAACAGAGGATGAAAAAGAGGAGCGTCATAATCGAACGCAGAGCAAGTTTTTAACAGTGAAGTTTAAGGTTGAAGAAGTTCCTATTAAGTCACTGTTTACCAGAGATAACAGCTCTAAAGCTAACAACAGCAGCAGCAATACACAGAAGCGGAATCCGGAGGAAGCATTATCAACAAATGCAGCCATTTCTTCTTCCGATGAGAAGAAATTTTCAAAAGATGTGATGCAGAAATACTTAAAAAAAGTAAAACCTCTGTACATTCGCGTCTCGAAACGTTACGGCGAGAAGCTCAAATTCTCCGGACAGTTAAGTTTTACAGGAAATGCTGCACTTAAGCCCGGACCTTCACCCCCTCCGTCCGCTACCGCGAAGGCAGAACCGGCATCGTACGCACCACAGACAGCAGAGAAGAACCAGAAGCAGGGGAATATTCCGTCAGGACTGCGAATAGTTCGTAAACATTTGGGGAAAAGCAGATCGGCTTCATCGGCGGTTATCGCCGCATCGCCGGTAGCATCTAATCGTCGAGACGACTCGTTGTTGCAGCAACAAGACGCAATTCAAGGCGCCATTTTACATTGCAAGAGGTCATTCAATTCATCCAGAGGTAAACTCAATTAACATTCCAAAAAATTAATTAATCAAAATAATTACTCCATAATCTTAGTTATCTCCTCACACATTTCTAATTTAATTAATTATAGATTCAGAATCATCCATTTTATCACGATCAGCAAGCGACGCTTCACATGAAAAATTAACGCACTTAACAACAGATTCATCTGCATTAGAGGAAGCCATCGCGGTGAGAAAATTAGAAATTTAATTAAAATTAAGATTTTCTGCTTAAAATCGTTAATTATTACTATTATTAGTAGTTAAGTTTTTGTTTTCCCTCGATTATAGAGAATTCAACGATCATGACAAAGTAATGAGTGGTCAATTATCTGTTTTCTCTCGTGCTTTGCTCTTTGTAAATTATTAATTAGCACTTTAATATTATAGAATTATACTATTAGTTGTACTTATTGTTATATTATTATGTAAAGCTTTATCCTAATCTCCTATTTAAATTTTAATTAAATAGTGTCTCCTGCTTTGCATTACGTGCATTTGTTGTTGCTTAAGAATTTGTAAAAAATGCTTCTACTTTTATACGTTGTTGCTGCGATTGCTTTCCCTTGTGTTTTATACATTTTTGGTTCAAAGTACAAAGATAAAGTATACAAAATATATTCCAGCACATAACACGAAGAATTTTCAAAACTTATAATATATACTTAAAAAGAAATTTTAATTTTACATGGGTAAGTGAGTGAATTTTCAAGAAACTTGTTTCATCAACCCAAGTTTAGATATGTGATGGAATATAAAATTTTTGTGAGAACTTGTTTCATCACTTTGCTTATCATCAAAATATTGTGTTCATTGAAGGAGTAATTACTTTTATTATATATATATATATATATATTATAATAACCTAGAATTGGATAAGATTTATAAGTAACTTCTCAAGGCACCATGTAAATGTACCAATAAGTGTTGTTGGATAAATCTTTCCACAAGGTAGAAAGTCATCTATCCTTTTTTTTTGTTTATTCATCGAGGTGTGAGTTAATAGTCAATGAAATGATTGTGAATATTAAGTTTCAGATTTAAAACTCAATATGTGAAAACTGACCTGAACGTTAAAATCATTGGAGGATAATTTTTTTAAAAATATGGTATTAGATGTAAGGAGATTGGCAATAATTTGGATTGGAGTAGCAACTTTTGAAGTTATAAAGTGTCTTTAGCGGTCAACAATCCGGGTAAAGTGGAAACAAAGATATCCTAGTTAAATTTTCTTTTCTTTTCATCTTTGCTTTTTTAGCTTTTCCTTTATCTTTTTCTCCTTTTTGGGGGTTTCTTTTTTAGTATTATAGTATAGTAATATTCAATCTTCAAAGTTGAAAAAGAATAGAAGAGAGAAGATAGTATAGGTAGGTCATTCTTCTTCTTTGTTAAAACTCAACACAACTCTACAAAACATAGGTAAAGTGAATGAAGTGTTTGTGTTGTCTCAATTTCGAAAGTTGTGAACTACGTTGATTTTGATGCTTTAGTAAATAAATTGATAGAAATATACTTGTTGAGATTCAATTTGTCTCCTATTCCTAAACTTTTCCCTACAAAAGTGCTGCTACAATGCCACGCCCTTTTAACAAAGCTTTTTACTTTGACCAATTTTGTTTCCTTCTTTTCTAACCTCTACTTACACCCACAAATTTATTGGGTAGGGTTTAAGACCCAAGCCAAAAATGGCGAAAAAAGGACAATGAAGACAAAGTTTAAATAGATTATATTAGTTTTCGGTCGTTACATAATGTCGTAAATCTATAATTTGCCTGATAAATCTACGAGAAATGTAGGGTATGGTAGAGATTTATGAAAAGATAGAATAAAAGATGAAATATGATTATTAAATAATAAATAAAGACAAAATAAGAAAATAATAATCAAGTAATGGTACTATTACATCAAATCAATTCTTACATAAATATTTTTTTTATCGTTACTTAACGATAAATTTAAATGATACAATATAATAAAATTTAAACAACAATCAAAATAATCATTAAATTTAAACTGATAATATCATATAACACGATTGGTAACAACTATCCAAACAAGATGTAAGACTCTGCTCTAGTGGTAAGAGCTATATATGACGTGTTACATTTAAGGATATTAAATTGAAACTTTTTTTCCTTTTTACTCTGTTTGGAAAAAAAAAAAAAACTTACGTTTAGAAACCATTTAATGTTAGAATATTTATTTTTAACTTTAATGAATGCTTTATAGCAAACAACTATCAATGCTTATTTTTTTTTCCAACAATAATTAAGTACTCGTGCATACATGCCTTATTCACTTTGCAATCAATAAAATGCAATGTTAAATAAAATGTCACAAAAGAAAAAATCATTTTACTTTTAACTTTCTATTTTATTTATAACATAAATGTTCTTTTTTGACATATAACTTATTTCTTTCCAATTAGAATCACAAAATTAATGAAATCACATAGACAGACCATGCAATACAGAAAGATGAGTTAAATAATATAAAGTGACAAAAAGTCGCAATGTTTTTGGTAGTGGTAAAGCAAATAGTTGATGGTGACGAATTTAAAATTTAACTTTATGAATTGATAAATTTTATAATGATAATTTTAAGTGTTAATAATGATATTTTATATTTGATATTTTAATAAATATGTAAATATAACCAAAATTATTAAATTTGATCTAACTCGTGAGTCGTGCCCGGTTGTTACACTATATATCCAAAGATCATGGAGATCACAAATTAAATCTGATTTCTGTTTTTTTCTTGAAATCGTTTTAATGTTTATTATTCTTTATTAAATGAAAAACATGAATAAAACAAGCACAAGAATCCATATAGTAGCCAAAGGCATATTATTATTTACTAATTTAGCCATTTAGAGAAAATAATAAAGCATCTTTTGAAGGTTCATGTACCATTAAAAAAGTAAATATATTTACCAATATTGAATATTCTGATTAGACATCTCTACATTTATAGTAAGTAGTTACAAATTTTTCTTCTTGTTGTAAACCTACTATTCTTCTTTTGATTTTTCAATTTATGTGGTGAAGGTGGATCTATAAATTAGGTGCGGAACTAGAATTTTAGTTTATAGATTTCATATGACTCAATAATTCAGTGAAATTTTATGTTCGTATTAAGAAATTTACTTAATAATGTATGTCTAAAAAAGAAATGTTTAAAGCTTGTAAACTCTAGATTTATCTGTCATTAGAGAATGTACGACACAGTAGATACAATTATATATATTAAATTTTTTAGACAGCCCGATAGTATAAAACATTTATTTTATATTATCAATATGTAGAAATTAAACTATCATATAAAACAAATAATTTTTAACATAATATGCCAATTACATTAATCAAGGTTTCTCCACACTTTGTTTTTAGCTTGCAAGTCAAATTTGTGAATAGGATTCTAGTTTACAACTCTATATAAGCTATAGAGTTGCATAATATGGCCAAAATGTGAACTACTATAAGTTAATGTTTGCATGTGATTGTGATAATATGATTCCAATTTCCAACTCTACATAAGCAATAATAAGATTTAATCTCTCTGTCTCAAATTATCTGTTATGTTTCTTTTTTTACACGCTTCTTAAAATATATTTATAAGAAATTTATTTTTGAAGAAGATTATTTTACCCTTGTTTTTCTTCATTATTTAGATCCGGTTTGGATGGGCTTAATAAAAGCAACTTTAAAAAAGTACTTTTGAAAGTGTTTAAACTTATTTTTAAAATAAGCAGTTATGCGTTTAGATAAAGATGCTGAAGTTGCTATGCCAAACGTGAAAAGGGAAAAATGGAAGAAAGAGATGTTAGGGTTATGTGGCTAATTTTTGGAGATTGTATAAAAATATTAAGGACAAAAAGATAAAAATGTGGTCAACTTAAAACAACTTATAAGCTAAAAAAAAAGCACCCCTACCCCAGTTTTTAACTTTTGGCTTAAAATAAGTTTTTTTTAACTTAAAATAAGTTATTTTGAGTATTGCCAAACAGCTAAATAAGTCAAAAATCAGCTTTTAAGTCAGTTTGACCAGCTTTTAAGCTGAGCCAAACAGACTCGTACTCTATTGAGGTGTATTTAGTTTTAAAGAACAATTATTACCAAGGAAATGAAAATAGAATCATTGATCTTATCTTAAACTTCTAAAACAAAAAATAATTTAAGATCGGGAATATATTTTGAAAATTTCCTAAGCATAGTTTCATTTTAATTTCTTTGTAAAACTTTTTTCTTCTTCATTAATTATACAATTTAGTTAGTTACTAGTACTAGTACATATTAGTAATTGGGTTAAATAGCATTGCTCTACTTTGCAATGAAAGGCCTATAATTCAGCTTTTACTTAGGCCCAGTAGTGGATTTGGTATAATTCCGATGAGAAAGATATTTCAAATCTTTTTTTTTCTTTTTAAAACGTATTGATTTGATTTTAAAATCAAATATTTTGCTATCAAAAGGTGAACTTCATATTTCTTTTAGAGAATCTTTTAATCGTCGAGATCAATTATTAAAAAAAATTTAATTTAGATTTTTTTACAAAAATCATTGACGATAAAATTCTAAGATTTGATCTTTTTCGATATATAACTTACTAAAGGTCGCAAGAAGGACAAGAAAAGAGTTCTTTAAATAATACAACGATATAAATTATAATCAACGTTAAAATCATATTTATAACACATCCAAAACACGAATAAAATTCTTAAAAAAAACATCTTATAATCTATATAATCTATAGAAACACATTTTTCTTGCAATCAATATCTCTGACATATTGATTTCTCAAATCAACCATTATATTACAATTCATTTCAATTTCAATATTCTTTTTAATAATATTCAAAGTATTAATTCTTCCATTAATTATCGTATACGTACTCATCGATAACTCACCGGACTTCAAATCACTCCCTAATCGTGAAATTTTCAATATTTTCTCCATCATTATTTTCACCGTTACGTTCACCCGTAACGTCCTCCGCGCCTTGGTGGTCCCCGGTGGCGTTAGGGCTTCTCCGATGGCCACGTCATCATAAAACAAACTAGTCATCGCTTCATTAAACTTGAATGACATTGAATTTCGATTTTTGACGGACAAGTCAACGGTGACCGTCAAGTTAACGTTTGGTTGGAGAGTAGTGGACGTATTGAGATAACTTATTCCGTCAATCTTGACGGAATTCATCCTTATAGACGGTTCGTGTACACGGAAAACGGTGAATCCAAGTACCAACATTATAACCACGAGTAATAAAATAGTGGCTATGCAACAACCACAACATTTGATACATCTTCTACGACGTCGTTTTTTCGAATGTAACGCCATGGTAATATTCTTATCGTCGTTATTAATAAAAATTCGATGAGGCCCTTGTGCTAAAAATCGAGCTTGATCGTTTGTA